CCTCTGCCTCCCATCTTCTCCCACGCTGTTTCCTCTGCTTGACTTTGTTCCGCACTTCTCTCTTCCCTCCCATCCTGTCTTATTTTAGATCCTGGGTATTTCTCTGGGAACTCTCACTCTGAATGTGGGGTTTCCCCTGCTGTATTTCTCATAGCTCTCTGTGCCTCTTCTTCTTTTAAAAAATATATTTTATAGATTTTTTTTTGAAGAGAGGAAGGGAGAGGGACAGAAAGTTAGAAACATTGATGAGAGAGAAACATCTATCAGCTGCCTCCCGCACACCTCCCACTGGGGATGTGCCCATAACCAAGGTACGTGCCCTTGACCAGAATCGAGCCTGGGACCTCTCAGTCTGCAGGTCGACGCTCCATCCATTGAGCCAAACTGGCCAGGCCCGCCCTGTGCTTTTCTTCTCCCAGGACTCACCACAAGGTTTTGTGTGATGCTCATCTTTCCCAATAGACTTTAAGGCCCAGGAGGGCCAGGACTGTGTGTGTCTCGTACATCGCTGTACTGCCGGCATCTAGCAGTGTCTGGCACAAAACAAGCACTCGACATGAACAAAGAAAAGGGGTTCCTGCCGAAACCGGTTTGGCTCAGTGGACAGAGCATCAGTCTGTGGACTGAAAGTTCCCGGGTTCAATTCCGGTCAAGGGCATGTACATTGGTTGCGGGCACATCCCTGGTGTGGGGTGTGAAGGAGGCAGCTGGTCGATGTCTCTCTCTCATCGATGTTTCTAGCTGTCTATCTCTCTCCTCTCCCTTCCTCTCTGTAAAAAAATCAATAAAATACCGTATTTTCCGGTGTATAAGATGACTTTTGAAACGGAAAAAAAGCCTGCTCAGATTGGCCAGAGTCAGAGAGGCGGTCTATGAAAAAAAGAACTGGTGTTGCCTCGGAAGTGGGGGGTAGTCTTATACAGCGAATATAGGCCTAAACCTTTGTTTTAACCATAAAATTAGGGGGCCGTCTTATATGCCCGGTTGTCTTATATGCCGGAAAATACGGTATATTTTTTTTTAAAAAGAAAAAAGAAAAGGGGTTCCTTCTTGACATGTGAATTTAGCGGCTCAGAACTGGGACTGAAGCTCATGGCTCCCCGCAGCCGGAACCAACAGTGAGGTCAGCGGTGACTCAGACACGGGGGGGGGGGGGGGGGGGGGGGGGGGGGCTGCTGGAACCAGCTGAGCCACGGTTTTTCTCAGGAGCAGGGACACCATGCACAGGCGGACTTGAGAGAACAGGAGCCTTCGGGCAGCACATATTTAACCTCCCCGGAGAGGGGAAGTAATCTGCCCAAGGTCTCCAGCCGTGAGTGGGGGGATGGCCTTTCCAGCATTGCAGCTGTTGTCTCCAACCTCAGGAAGAGAAGTAAAGTCAGGAAGTTGTAGGACTGACGCAGAGTGGTGACAAACTATGAAGAGGATCTGAAGGCCCAGGTGTGGCCTCAAGCAAGTCATTTCCCCTCTCTGGTCTGTATTTTCACCATCTGTAATAAGAGAGTGTTTTAGGTCAAGTACCTTGCTTGGTAAGCAGACTCTTGAGGTGGAAATTTGCACACAGGGGGTACACACTGGAGGCCAATGTCATAGGACAGTGGGAAACAGGGCTGGACAAAGAAATGGGGCCGCAATGGAGGCCTCGGCTGATCCCAAAGGGAGCACTAGAGCTGGGAAAGTCCTTCCGAGTTGTTCCAACAGAGGTAAAGGGGCCAGGCCTTTGTAGACTCCCGTCCCTCCAGTCAGTCATGGAGACAGACTGCCCGAAGGGACATAGCCATGAGCTAGGCAGCCAGAGAGGGCCTCCCCTGAGGCTTTTCCTGGTTGAGTGGGGGAGGGGGAAGGAATGAGAGACACGTCTTGGATGCTCACCATAGCACCCATTAGAGGAATGTAGTTTTCCAGCTGTTCCACGGAGCCCTTGGGTTCCAAGGTGCTTCATTGGATGGGAAACTGGTCTTCTTGGGTGTGTTTTAGTGTCTGCGAAAGTCCAACATGTTTCATTGGAAGAAAAAGCTCTGCTGTTAGGTTGTAAATGCTCTTTAAGCACCTTGTATTTCTCCTTAGAGGTGCCCATCACAATGACATAATTAGTTGTGTAATGATCTAGTGTCTGTCTCCTGCACTAGACAGTAAATGCCACGGGAGCAGGAACCGTGCCTGTTGTGGCCACTGTTCTGTGTCCAGGACATTAACATACTGTGCGCAGCACATCTGCTGAGTGAAAGCATGGTCTGGGCATCAGCACACCAGGAAGCTGTTAAAGACGCCAGTTTCTGAGCTCTACCTCCAACCACTGTCCTTTAAGAGATTCTGAAGCACAAAAAGTTTGTGAATCTTGGGTAAGTATGAAAAAGAGATTAAATTTGAATACATCTGACAACAGTCACTAAGTGGTGCTACCTGGAAGTGAAAACGCTGTTTTCATGGGAGAAGAAACTTGAGGCAGTTGATGGACACCTCCCTGCATCCCCTCGCCCCCGGGTAAGTGACTGAGTCAGGACCAGATCCAAGTTTTGTACTCCAGATCTGACTTACTTTCACATGCTCTTAAATGACTGTAGAAGGAAGAACAAATGTGAGAACACTGCAAAAATGAGAAGGGTAGAAGGAAAAGGGAACATGCAGTCAGTCAGGGAAGGCTTCCTGGAGGAGGTCATTTTCATTTTTGAAGGCAAGTGGGGAAGACAGCAGGAGAGGGCTGAACTCTTAGTCACGATGCGAGTTCAAAAGCTACAAACGGCACTGGCACAGCCTGGGGCTAGGGAGTCACATCTTTCTCCTTATGCCGTTCCATCTCCCTAGTGCTAAAGAGGGAAGGATGAGAAGCAGATAAGCATAATGTGGTGGGGCAGGAGACCGAAGGGGGACCCCAGAGATTCTCAAACAGCCCGCCTCTGCCACAGGGGGAGCCTAATAGTGGGAAAAATAGGAAGGCTAAATGCCCAGGCCTTAGGGTCAAGCAGCCCCCAGCTGAAATGGGGCTTCACTCCTTACTAACTACATGTTCTCAGCAATGTCACTTTACTTCTGTCCCAATTCCCTCGCAGATTCAGAGAAATGGCCTCCAAGTACCCAGTCAAGGGCCAGGCTTAGTGAAAAAAAAAAAAAAAAAAAACCCACAAAAAAACATGCATTGTAATTCCATGGTGCCTGGCCCGCTACAAATGGGTGAAAGGACTAGATAACGAAGGTACAGAAGCTTCAATGCCAACCACTCCCAATCAGGCCATCCCTGGGCACAGGTGCCCAGTGGGGTGGGGCTAGCAGGTCAAGTCCATGATGCAATCACAACTTCCTGCTAAGAGGTGAACCGTGACCCTTAAGAAACAGAAAAAAGAGCCCATTAACAAGCAGTACAAAACAAAACCTCGGTGAACTTTTATTTCTCCTTATACAGAACTGGTAGCAAAGCCAAAGACTTCTGCACTTGAACACTGAATACCCCTCCCTGTCCACCCACAGAACATTTACAGCCATCTTGTCCTCTCCAGACTCCAAACCCAGGCTGGGCCTCTTCCCTCCTGCCCAGCTTCACTGCGGGAGGGCGGGGAGGTCTGAGGGTGCCAGTCGCTTCCCCATGCCCGCATGGGTATGAAATGTGGCACACTGACCAGACTCCTTTCCTGCCCCACCCCAGCGAGGAGGGTCAGAAGCAAGCAGCATCTTGGCCCTCGTCTTTCTTCAGTCCCCTCCTCACCGGCCAGAGAGGAGAGGAGGCACATACTGCCGGAAGAAGGGCTAGGAAGTCATAATTCACAGCTTGTTTGCTATAGAAAGTGCCTGGGGTCAGTCTTGGCTGCTCTTGCCTCCAAGTAATCCACCTAAAACTGAGGAGAGGAGACAGAACCTGGGCGGTCCTTGGAAGGAGACTGACTGCAAGAGTGGGAGTCCCCGGAGGACCTTCCAATCCTGCTCGATGTGCAGGTCACTGCTGGCAGGTTGGCCGAGAAGCCCAGGCATGAGAAGTCTCCCTTCCCCTTAGTCTGAAACGGAGGAAATCGGGGCCAAGGAGGTTTGGCAACATAGCCATGGTCACTGGCCAGTGGCAGGGCCCGAACAACCCTGGAGTCTCCGAGCTCTCCCACTGGGCCACGTGCCACCGAGAAAGGATTGAGTTTTTGGCAAATATCTGCAGTGGAGCTCGGGAGACAGGAGAGGTGCGAGCTCTGGGAGAACAGACTGCCCCGTCCTGCTCACACCTTTAGAGGGGAGGCCCTGAAGAGGTTTGGACTTCATCCATAAAGGACCAAAATACAGAGGATTTATAATCGAATACTCCCTACACTTCAAAAGGCAAAGTGACCAAAAAGCTACTTAAATTCTCTAATCTACTTTTTTAATGTGCTTGGTCTCTCTCCCAGGGCCTCACACCACCAGGTGTGGGAGAAAAGGAAATGAAATAGGATTGGGGCCATCAGGAAACAAGGGGCCTTCAGGCTGCCCGACTGAACAGGTTTTGGGGGGGGCGGATGCACAGGCCAGCTGTGAACCTGACTTTCACATTGATGGGTTAATGGCAGGTGAGAGGGAATGGAATTGGATGACGGAGGAAAAGGAGAGCTGCTTGGAGTGTCAGTCCCTGGAGGTGTTTGCCCCTCTCCCTCAGGGGCCAGCCGGGGACCTTTCCAGCCCAGGAAGGCCACAGTGCTTGTGGTGGGCCCAACCTGGAGGTACGTAAGTCTGAACTCAGCCCATTGTACTTCCTGTGCCTTCTGCCTCTGGGTTCAGGGGTAGGAAGAGGGCACGGCCCCTGGCGATCTGCTAGTCCTCTTCCAGCTCCCAGGGCCAACGCTGAGATCCCAGAGATCCTGTCTATTCCAGTGAGAAACTGTAGGGTGTGGCTTGGGGGCTGCACCTCACACAAAAGCCCACCCCCAGAGTGTGGCGGGTGGGCGTGGGACAGAAAGGGATCGGGTCTGTCCCCGGACAGAAAAGTTCTTGCAGAGAGGAGGATGCCTCGAGAGTTAGCGGCTCCAGGCCCAGGTCCTGTGTGGGAGTCAGGTCATGTAGCGGGTGATGGCACGGAGGGCATAGAGCAGGGCGGCTTGCATGCGGGCCTCCAGGAGCAGCAAGTTCACGTGGACCTGGGGCACAGAGGAGGGCTTGTCAGCAAAGGAGGTCCGTCCTCGCCTTCCCCATCCCTCCCACGCTGCCGCCACCCCTGACCACTCATCTCATCCTTCTATTTCCTAAGGCTCTGAGCGCGGTGGGGCAAGGACTGCTCAGGAATTTCAAGCATCTTCATCCTTGTTGTGACTCATCTCTTTATCCCCCAAAGCTAAAGTAAGAGCTGCCACTGAGCACGGTTTCGGGATTGGAGGTTTACGTTCATTTTCCCATCTCATCCTCCCCGCAGTCGGATGCAGGTGGTTTGTTCCCACTGCCAAAATAAAAAGGCTCGAGGAGGCAGTGACTTGCCCAAGGTTTTACTTCTACTGAGTGACAGCGTTATGATTTCAACCCAGATCCTGCTGGCTGCCACGGAGGGCCCTGCAAAGCCCATTCCCATCTTATGGGCGAGTCAGTGGAGTCTGAAATCACTTCGTGGAGGAGTACTTAAACCCAGTACCATATACTCAGGTATTCTACCTGGCAGTGCAGACTCAGGCTGGGTACCTCATTGGGTCGACCCCTTGCCCTCTCCACTGGCCGGGCTTGTCCAGTCCCCCGGCCTCCGTACCTTCTCCGAGTGGCGGAAGTGCCTCCAGAAGAGCCTGTACATCCTCCGGGTGGTCTTCTCTGGGTAGCAGGCCACTGTCTTGATATAGACCTTGAGGTTCCGCTCCAGGAGCTGGTTCACCTCCCCGTAGTCATAGTCGTCATACCTGGATGAAAAGGCCCAACAGCATCACTCACCCTCAGCTTCCAGAACTGGCTCCACTCTTCCAGCCCCACCCTGTGAAAGAAGGAACAGAGAGCAGCAAGAAAAGGCAGAAGGGAGGAAGCAACTAGAAGCTTGGTTCCTCTTAGAAAAATAGCTGATGTCATATATCATAGACCAAGGAATGAATAGAGAATAAGCATGCCTTATTTGGTATCAACTATGTACCATGTGAACATATACTCAAGGAATCCTTAAAACTATTGTACACTACTGTATGCAAAGCTATTACATACAGTATGCTGTATTCATCAGCCTCGTTTTGTAGATGAAACAGAGATTCAGAGAAGTGAAGTCACTTGTCCTAGGCCACACAGGTGGGAACGGGATTCAAACCCAGCTCCACCTGGCTCCAAGGTCATATTTACTACTTTGCAGTAAAGGCCATGGAAGATGGGACAGGAGGTGAGTGCAAGTATTTTCCCTGGATAAGGGAGGTGGAAAGGGAAAAAGGGAGCTGGTACTCATTTTATAGATGGGCAAACTAAGGCCTGGAGAAGACGATTAAGTTGTTCAAGTCAAAGAGCAAGTTGGTGAGCAGTCTAGAAGCTACTTTATCATTCGCCAGTCCTGTGAGCCAGTGAGTCATCTCAAATCGGGGTGGATGGGAAAGATGGGCTAAAAACTGGAAGACAGTCAGTAGACAAAGGTACCAGATCAAGGATCATGTTGTAGAATGGAAGAACCTGGACCTGAGAGCTGGGCAGGAACTAGCTGTGCCTATCCATCCTTGGCCTCCTCTGAGTTAGAAACCTGGCAATGACCAGCGGGATGGCAGCCAATTAAGTACAACTCAACCCACCCAGTGAAATATGATTAACAGTTAGGAATACATGGAAATTCACATTTATGCCCTTCTAAAAACTGGGGGATTTTTTTTTTTTTTTTGATGCTTGAACTAAACTGTTAAATGAGAAAAGTGAGAAAAGGATCATGGTTCACTAAAATGTGCTCATGTCTGATTAAGTAAAATAAGTGACACGCAAGAAAATATTGTTTTCATAAAATTATATGTATGTTTTGGCTATTTGTTCATGGAAAACAGACAGGAAGGAAATACTTGACAAGAAGAGGAAAGAATGGTTATCATGGATAGTTTTTATTTTCTTCTTTTTGTTATGTTTTCTAAATTTACTAAAAATCAGGCTGCATCTTTTTACAAACATCAAATATATATATATATGTAATTTTTTAAATGAAATTATAATTTCAACTATACAAAAGCAATTACATAAGAAAGAAAAGAAGCAATATAGAAATATGTCATAGCCCAGCCTGCGTGGATCAGTGATGAGCATCTACCTATGAACCAAATCATGGTTTGATTCCTGGTTAGTGTGGGGCATGCAGGAGGCAGCCGATCAATTATTCTCTCTCATCACTGGTATTTCTTTCTCTCTCTCTCTCTCTCTCTCTCTGATTATATATACAGTTATCTCTATGGAGTGGGATTAAAGTGTTTCATTTATAAAGTTCAAACAGTAAGCACATTTATTATCTTTTGTAATCAGCAAAGAAAAAAAATTGTTTTGAAAAATAGCATAGGCAGGAAGAAAGGAAAAGAAAAAAAAACAAAAAAAGGAAACCACTGTGAGTGCAGACTGAGGACGTGCAGGGCACACACGTCCTGGATGAGGAGACGTGTGCCTACCTGATGCCGAAGACGCAGTGGATGTAGTTCCAGATGGCCCTGCGGAGCATGGAGGTGTCCACTCCGCTGTGCATGGCCATGGTGTTGTAGGTGAGGCTGTAGGCTGCCTGGAACTTCTCATCCAGCAGCTGCCCACCCTCCGGGTAAAGCCTCTGGATCAGGGAGTAGCCATGGTCTTCCCAGGTATAATCCTGAGGAACAAGAGAAGGGGTCAATAAACGGCCCAAGGCTGGCCAGAGCACACCTCCCCACCCCACAAATCTAAGCTACTGCTTAGTCTGGGCTGGAGAAGCCAAGAGGGATAGATGCACTTAGGGCACAGATGGGTCCCTTCAGGATCCAGGGGCTCCCACTTCTCTCAAGGGAGAGAAGGTACTCAACTCTATCACTCAAATCATCCACTCCTTGACTGTAAATCAGGAGCAATGCCAAGATCAGTGGGGAGACCCACCTGGGCACGGAAGGTAGGAGGCGCCTGAGTCCCTCGCCGGGTGAAGTCCTCATATCCGAAAGTGGGGTCTTCTACGAAGCACAGCATGTCTGGATGTGGAGAGGACTCCAGGATGTCAGCTGAGAATATCAGAAAGAGGTCACCGTGAGGCCAAGGCACGGGGCACAGAGATCTTCACTCCTGAGACATCATCAGTGTGGGGCCAGGCAACAAAGAGTCTAAGGCCAGAGAGAGCTCCTCCCTACAGTGAGTGGAACCAGGATTTAATGGGAGGGGGCGAGTCAGGCCCAGGGTTGAGGCCTCCAGTAATAATAGTCATGGCAGTAGTAGTTATTTATGGAGCCACGCATGCCGGGCTGGGCTCCATGTGAAGAGCTTTGCTTTTTTGTTCCATTTACCTTACACTTCAATCCTTTATGTGTGAGGAGACAGGCCCCAAGGCAGGAAGTGAGTTATTAGTGGTCCCTCTGACAGGAAGCCTCACACAGGCAGATTCAAACTGAGGTCTGACCCCGAAATACAAGAGATGCAGCACACAGAGGTGCCTGCTCCTCAGCAGAGATGGCAGAGGAAGGGGGCAGGCCCTAGAACCTGGACGCCTGTGATCCCATACCCGAGGGGGTCACCAGCAGGCTCTCCGACTTCTCCAGCTCAAAGCGGCTCTCCATCTCCTCCTGAGACGCTCCCTCATCCCGCAGTAGGCTCTCCTGCAGCTGCCTCATGCGTTCCATCAAAGCCTCCACGTCCCGGGCAGCCTCGAAGCTCTGCAGGGGAGACCCAAAGATGACCATATACTCCTCTCTCGGCCACCCCAAGAAATTCCACACACCTTTCCCACATGCAGGCCTTTCTGAACGGGCAGCTCATGGTCTATGCTGCCCCAAGGGAGGTTTAAGAAGCTACAGAGTCAGCCCTGGCTCAGGTAGCTCATTTGGTTAGAGCGTCATCCTGATACACCATGGTTGTGGGTCTGACCCCTGGTCAGGGCACATATAAGAATCAACCAATGAATGCATAAATAAGTGAGACAGCAAATAGATGATCCTCTGTCTGTCTCAAATCAATCAATAATTTAAAAAACACAAAACTACAGAACAGACATGTCTTCTCTGAGCATCAATTACCCTCACAGGTAAGGGACTTTTAAAATACCTGTATTTTCGAAATAAAACAAACAAGGCCACCTTACAGAATAAGAAGCAAACTTTGTATTTTGAAAGCGGTAAAACCCAGAAGCCTTCAAGTCTTGGAGCTACACGCTGAGGGGCCAGTGACACGGTTCTTTCATCTAGTCCTCACAGCTCATTATGAAGCAGTGGTCTTTTCCTCACCGGATAGACGAGGAAGTGGAACTTCAAAGTCAAACAACTCCTCTAAGGCTTATCTGGAAGGCGGTGAAGCAGTGGCTTCTGTCTAGGGACGATGGGCCATGCCAGCTTCCTCTCTCCCCCCACCCCATCCCGGGCGGTGACTTACCCCGGAATTGTTCAGTGAGTCTCTGCTGGGGGGGCTGCTCTGCTCGCTGGGGGGTGAAGGTGCCTGGGGTACAGGGCTGCCCTCCGGGTCCCCCTCGGGGAGGATGCCACAGCCAAACACGAAGGAGGCCAGCGAGTGGCAGTGGGTGAGCAGGACCAGGGCTTGGATGAGCTCAGCCAGGGACCAGCTGTGCTCACCCGTCTTCAGCAAGGCCTGGAGAGGAAAGAAGGCCAGACGTGCTCAGTGCCTGCCTCCGGGCTGGCTGCCAGACCCCAGCTCGGCCCCTGTGTTGCCTCTTGGACCTGTCTCTCTACCCACTGTACCTGGATGTGCTCCTTGGTGATGAGCCATGGGCGATGTGCCAGCAACTTGTTGATCTCATTAAGCTTGCGCAACTTCTTAGGGGCCCGGTGGAGGCCAAGCAGCCACTCCGGGTCACCGCCAGTCTGCAGAAACTCGGCCATGTGGGAGCCAACCAGGTAGGAACACTGGTGGCGGGCAGCAGCCTATGGAGGAAAGGGCACACACAGTAGCATGAGCTTAGGTCATGCTATTCTCTCTGTGCCCCATTCAACGCGAGTACCCGTGGAAGGTGACATCCTAGACCTCATTGTTGCCTGAGAGGCAGGAAATTTGGGTTCTAACCCCAGTTCTGCCACTGGCTTGTTGTGACCTTGGGCAGGTCATTTACTCCTTTATGCCTCAGTTTCCCAAGCTGTGGCGTAGGCACTAAAGATGCCTCTTTTCTAAAATTCTATAGTCAAATAAAGCCAGGGCTTTCTCCTCCTCATCTACGGAATCAGTTTGGAAAGTCCCCAGCAAAGAGATCTGGGGACTGAACCCCCCACCAGGTGGCCACCCTAGGAGACTCAGGGTCAGACAGGCTCACCATGATAGCAATGTAGTGGCGCCAGGAGCTGGCCAGAGGCCCATCTGTGTGCAGCAGTAGGTAGTGCAGGCGCCAGAATCTGCTAAGGTAGTCAGGGTGCAGGCCCATCACCACTGCCAGGTTGTCCACACGCCCACAGGACATCAGTGCCTCCAGCCCCAGGTTCTGCTCGAGGCTCTCAGCTCCCTCCTGGAGGACCTGCCAAGCAAAAGTGAGGAGAGGATGGGTTCCCCTCCCGTCCTTTCCCCCAAAGAGACCAGCACATTCATTATAGCAGGATTATAATAGCAAGAAACTGAAAACAACCGTGTCCCAAAAGAGTCAGAGAGTAAAAGGTATTTCATTAAGTGATCAAATACTTACCAAATACCTTACATAATAATAACCAATACTTTGATAATGCTTACAAGGTGCCAAGCACTGTTTGAGCACTTTATATGTATTTACTCATTTAATTCTTACAAGTATGAGATAATTCTATTCTCCATTTTTAGATAGAAAAACTCAGGCACAGATATGAAAATACAGTTCTCTCCGGCCTTCATGGAGCTTCGGTTTTAACAGTGCAAAACCGCACAGCCCTGGAGGGGGGGGGCAAAATAGCTGAGCCTTCCCGAGTGCTATCTCCGCCGAGGGCTGAGTTTAAAGCGTCCCCTGCATTATCTCATTGGTTTTCCCCATTATCTTGTGTGGTGAACACTACTTTCCCTCCACTGACAGACGAGGAAATCAAGGCCCAGAGAAGTTTCATTCCTTGCTCAAGATTACAGATCTAGTAAATGACAAACCAGGATTCAAATCCAGATTGACCCCAAAGCCTATTTCTTTTCTTTACTATAAAAGAGGAGTGGTTCTTTCTTTTTTGATTTCCGAGAATGGAGAGAGGAGAGGGAGAGGGAGAGGTAGAGGGAGAGAGAGAAACATCAATAATGAGAGAATCATTGATCAGCTGCCTCCCACAACTCCCCCCACCCCCCACATACACACTGGGGATTGAGCCCACAACCCAGGCATATGCCCTTGACTGGAACTGCACTCGGGACCTCTCAGTCTGCAGGCCAACACTCTATCCACTAAGCCAAACTGGCTAGGGCAGGAGTGGTTATTTCTAAATGAAAATATAAAATACAAGCACAACACTTGAGCTTCATATTCTGGGCTGCAGACATGAATAACTAGCTGGTGGTTGTTTATTTTCCATTTACAAAGGGTGGAGGGAACTGGGGGCTTAGACATTTGTTAACAGTTCATTAACTACTGGGCCTACATGTTCAGGAGAGAAAAGAGGACAAGGAAACAGTTGTTTCCAAAGAAAAAGAAGAAAACTATTATTTAGAAATTTTCTGTGCATGTGCTTTGAAGGCACCCACACACACCAACTCCACACTAGAATGTTAGTTCCATGACGGCAAGGATTTTTGTCTGACTTATTATCTGTGGTGTCCCCAGCACCCAGGACAGTACCGGACACAGATTAATCATCCAATTGCTATCTGTTAAAAACATGGAGAAAAAAAGAATGGATGATGTGACTCAGTAAATGAAAGAGGTCTCTGTTGTAGTAAGTGAGAAAACAGAACAAAACAATAAACTCCCCCAAAAAACATGCTGTAAACTATGACCTTGGTTCTGTATGGGGCAGAAAAAACACACCAGAAAACAATGGCAAATGGTTAAGTAACACTGATTACTTCACAGGGGAGAAGGAGATTCTGAAACATTGGAAAGTTTTTATAATGAACATATACCACTGAAGTAAAATAAAACTTTAATATATGCACAGTCAAGAATAAGAAGATAAACACAGATGGTTCTACCTTCTTGAGGAAAAGCAGGCCTTGTTCTGGGAATCGAACATTTGTTCATTTCCTAGCTGCGCTATTGCCACTGTATCTCTTTGAGCCTGTTTCTTCCCAGCAAAATGGGGTTAATGTGTCTGCTTCCTAGAGCTGGTCTGAGTCAGGAACCCGAAGGGATAGCTTCAAAACTGCTATTTCAAGAGACACCAACTCAGTGTTCCATGTTCCGTCTTCCCAGCGACCAACAATTCCTAACCCTTCCAGGCTTACCTCTTCCACGGGGATGAAGGCGCTGGGCCCGCGAGGGCCTCCCCGAGCCCACCTCATCCTCTGCTCCTAGAAGGAAACACAGCATGGTTAGTTGGAGGTACGAGAGAGGAGGAAAAGGAAAGTGCTCTCTGGTTTTCTCTTCCTACCTAAGGGACTACAGTGAACTTTGAAAACCTCCTTTCTGGTGTAACCTGCACGGAGGAGGCATTTGGGAGACATGCACCTGTTTGGTGGGTGGAGAGAGAGCAAACAAGAGAGGGCTTGCCCCACAGGTTCGGCTCTTCAGAAACTGGGCAGGGACTTGGGAGCCCCAGTGCTGGGTAGGGAGGGCCTGGGAAAGGGGAATACACAGCCACCATCCTGCACATCTCCAGGAGACCACCTTCCTGGCAGCCCCGGAGAATCCATGCAAGAACCCCCTCATTTACATCTCGAAACCAGGTTACCGAGATTCCCAGGATGTAGCTGCAGTCTCTCAAATTGTCATTTCTTCATCCCTCTCACCATCACCACCTCATAGACCGCTACCATCTCTTGTCTGGACTACCAACTACAGGCTCACCAATGATCTCCCTGCTCTAGCCTACCCATTCCTCTACCAAATTAACAAAAAAAATAATAAATAAAACATGCCCCCTGCTGAAACCGGTTTGGCTCAGTGGGAGAGCGTCGGTCTGCGGACTGAAGGGTCCCAGGTTCGATTCCGGTCAAGGGCATGTACATTGGTTGCGGGCACATTCCCGGTAGGGGGTGTGCAAGAGGCAGCTGGTCGATGTTTCTCTCTCATCGACGTTTCTAGCTCTCTATCTCTCTCCCTTCCTCTCTGTAAGATATCAATAAAATATATATATATTTAAAAATGCCCCCTGAGCACCAACTCTTGGAATAGGAGCAGACTTAGTATGTGACTTTGGTGGTTTCTAAAGAGGGCAACCTTTCTACAGCCAGAGTCAACATTATATGCAAATCTGATCAACTGGCTTAAAACACCTCCCTTACCTTTGAGATATGTTAGAGGGAATCCGGCCCACTGTCCTCCCACTAGCCATTCCTTTTGCAGAGCTAACTTTTACAGACTTCCAGGGCCGGAGAAACTTCTTTCAGACCCTCCTCTGTGATCCCAAATTCCCAGTGCTTTTGCTTCTGAAAACATTGTCTTCTAACTTGTGTGAATTAGGTCTCCCTACTGCCAGATCACTTTCTGTGGACAGCGGGGCCAGGTCATTCATATTAGCTATGAATTAAGAACACAAAGAAAGCACAGAAGCTTCAAGAGGATCAGCACGGGGCATGCATGGCTGACAGCAGCAGCTCTTCCGACATGCACATATTGGAGCTTCTTTGGAAACCACCAATGATGTACTCATTAAATCTGCTCCTAGGCCTAGAGGTGAGGTTCACAGAGGGTGTTTTACTTATTCATTTGCTTTAATAACTACAAGGGGGGCTCTCAGCACTGGCCTGGCCTCAGAAAGAGTCTACCTGGCCCTATTCGATTTAGCTCAGAGCATTGGCCTGCAGACTGAAGGGTCCCGGGTATGATTCAAGTCAAGGGCAGGTACCTTGGCTGCAGGCTCAAACACCAGCCCTGGTCAGCAACCAATTAATGTGTCTCTCACATCAATAGTTTCTTTCTCTCCGTTCCTCCCCCTCCCCTTCACTCTGTCTAAAAATCATGGAAAAATTTTGAGTGAGGATTAAAAGAGAGAGTGAGAGATATTATCCAAAACAGTTATACCTTCACTGGACAGAAACAGAAATCTCTCCCCATCTCAGTAAAATCCAGACTTATTAGCAATGGACCTACCTGTCCAGGAACTAAATAACTGCACCTTCCTTCTCAGAGGGTCAAAACTCCCCTGAGGAAGTTCAGAGTCGGGGCTCTGAAAGCAGAGAGGGAAAGAACAACGGGACCTGGAAGTCCCCATGTGAATAATTCTGCCACTAACTTGCTGTGTGCCCCTGAGAAAGTAACCTAAACTCTCTGGGACAAAGAAGATAGTTGGGCTGATAGCCCAGGTCCCTTTCAGCCCACACTTCTGGGAGCTACCAGGCCAGGCAGGTCCAAGTCTAGCATAGAAACCACCAGAAGCCCCAAGCACTCCTGTTCCAGCTTCCCCTCCTCCCTCACCAAAGAGAAAAAGCCTAACAGCTCTGTGTGGGAGATAAGAATTGCTGACTCCACAAAAAGGGCCTCCCCCTCAGGGGACGTGAGGACAGAGAAAACCACAGCCAGGTGGGGTGGGGAAGGGCAGGGTGGAACTGGGGTTTGGGGGTTGGCGGGATAGAAGGCCCACTAGAGTGCTAGCGCGGTACAGGGAACAGCCCTGGGAGTCCCATTTCACTCTAAGGTCTGCCCCACGAGCTGTCACCTGTGGGTCTTAAGTGATAAGTCTGGATCCAACAACACTGTCAGCCCAGATGAGGATGAGGATGAGGATCGAATACAGTAAATGTTAGGGGCTCTGACAACAACTGCCTAGGCTCCAATGACATCTCCACCATCTCCTACCTATGTGAGCCTCAGTTTCCTCAACTAATAATGGGCTAATAGTACCTGCTTTTACTGGGTAGTTATAAGGATTTAATGAGATAATGCCCTCACCTTAGTACCTCTATCATAGTAAGCACTGAATAGAAATCAGCCACCATTAACCTCGTTTTTTTCAAACAATGACATCTCAACCCAAGCAGTACTCCAGAATCCCTTTGAAAGTTTTTACAAAATACCAGTGTGCCCCAGCCGGTTTGGCTCAGTATATAGCGTATTAGCCGGTGAGCCAAAGGGTCCTGGGTTTGATTCTGGTCAAGGGCAGGCATGTTGGTTGCAGGCTCCTTTACCGCCTGGGCCCAGGCCCGGGCCTGCCCTGGTCCAGCGCATGCAGGAGACAACCAATAGATGTGTTTCTCTCACATCAGTGTTTCTGTCTCTCCCTCTCTCCTCCTCTCTCTCTAAAATCAATGGAAAAATATCCCCAGGTGAAGATTAACAATAAGGTTCTGCCTCCAGCAATTCTCATTTCATTGGGTGGGCACAGCATAGTTTATTGCCAGGGTGTGTAAGGCAGTGGGCTAAGAGCTTTCCAGGTGGAGCCAAAATTAATCTGTGCATTCAACAAATGTTTTTGACGTCTACATTTTGGGTAGCAACAGTACAGGAGTAAAAAGACAAAGTCTCAGCTTTCACAGAATTTATAATCACAAATAAACAAATTATGACTAGGATTTCAAATCATAGATTATATGAAGTAAATTAAATAAAGCAATGATGGGGTCGGGGTGGGTGATATGCAATCTTGTAGGCCGAGTAGACAGAGAAAACCACTGAGCCAGGACGAGGTAACTTTTGAGCTGATATCTAAATATCAAATATCTAAATGAATTGATTAGGCAGCAGGGCCAGCATTTCACTCAGAACAGAAATTGCAAAGCTTTGAAGGCAAGTCCAAGTAGATTCTAACCAGTGCTCTGATACTAGGAATGCTTCTCTGACCTTGACACCCAGAACTTCAGAGGAAGCAGACAGGGCAGGAGATGCCAAGAGATGATGCCTCTGAATCAGCTCTCCTCTATTCCCTGGGACAGGGAGTCAATAATAATAATAATAATAATAATAATAATAATGGTAGATAACAACCATGACTACCATTGGCTAAGCAGGTATTTCACACGCACTTTAAGGCAGGAACTACTACTAGGGCGCCTGTTTTACAGATGAGGAGGAAGGCTCAAAGCGAAGTCACTTTTAGTCACTCAGCCAAGGAGGTAGCAAAGTTGGGATCCAAACCAGGTTTCTTCAACAGCAGACACTATTCCCATTCTCTGAACTTCTCAAGGTCTCAGCAGCCCCAAGGCTTTGCATCTGGGGGTCACCAGGATTGAGGAGTTCCTTCTCCCCTGCCCATATCCCCCAAAATCCAGTACCCCCAATCACAGCACCGTTTCTTACCTTGAGGGTGCACACTGGAACTAGTTCCCTGTTTTTAACCCCAGTGTCTGGCACAGAGCAGTCCGACAGAACTTTCGGCCATGAAGGAACAGTCTATCTGCATGTCAAAGATGGTAGCCCCTAGCCATGGGGGCTGAGCATTTGAAATGTCACTAGTGCAACTAAAACCTGAATTTTAATTTTTAAAAGTTATCAAAATGTAAATAGCCACATGTGGCTAAGAGCTACCATACTGGACAGTGCAGTTTCAGCACACATGTTAAAGGAAGATCCTCTCCCTCACCCCAGGTTATAGATTAAAGAAAGGAAATAGAGGGGGAAGGTGACCTGCCGCAGTAACACAGCTGGTAGGGGCAGAAGGAAGATCACCGGTTACTGCTCCTATAGTTCCAACTGAGGGGGTCCCTCAGGCAGCAAGAACACTAAGGAGTCAGCCCTCTGGGAGGGTTTCAGGCAAGTTGTGAAAAGATGATAGCCACCTCAGAGCTCAGTGCCTGGCTCCGAATTTAAGTGCTTGCTAAAGGTTAGTCGTTCTATTCGCTTAGGCACTTGTACACAGTTTCCATCTAATCTTCATCAGTTTTGGGGTGGGGGTGGGAGTCTCTATTTTGCACCCAAGGAAAGACTAAGGTTCCAAAGGTTAAGTACTAGATGACAGGGGGCCAGTCTGAGATTTAAACTCAGCCTCTTGGAGTAGCCCCGGCCTTTAGTCCTGGTATCCTATGCACAGCCTGCAGCCCCAGGACTCAGTGACAGACACCTGCGAAGTCACTCTGCCAGCTGGGAAAGGGCAGAGACTCCCCCACCCCCATCTCCATCCCTGTCCCCACCCCCACCCCCACCCCGTGAGCAGCTACGGTCTGCTGAACTCAGATACATGCCTGGGCTTACACCCGAGAGAGACACATAGCCAAGCAGCCTCTGACCAGCTTTGAGGGAGGGGAGTGTGCGTGGTGCCTCAAACTTACCCTGGGCGGGGACTAGGCTAAGCGCTTTACACGTCTGATCTGGCTGATTTCTCCCAACCAAGTGGAGGAAAACAGGTCCTATTATCCCTTCTTCAGAGACAGCTCACGGGAGCTCTTTCTGAGTCCTGTTCCAGACAAGCACTGCTCAGATCCAACGTCAAAGCCTCACAATTCACAAGGGTCAGCTAAGCCAGGAGGGGCAAACAGTTACCAGCACTCACTAGGTGCTAAGCACAGTGCCGGGGATGTGGCCTACGGAGTGTTTCCAGCCCAGCAAGGGCAGCAGATGAGAACTGCCCGATGATACAGCTGTCACACTGTCACTGGGATAAAAAGCTTCTATCCCAGGGCCTGGGAGAGGATATGCAGAGGGGCCTTATCTATTGGGGGGGAGGCGTGCCTGCGGACATGATGTTTGAGGAAGTGATTCTTGAGCCTAATCAGAGCCCTGAGCACATACTGCCAATACCGGAGTGGGTGGCATAAACCCCTTGAAAGGGTGTGATAAGTGATGGTGGCTGAGGGGCCCATACAGGTGGGTCTTCCCTTGGACCTTGGGCTACAAGGCTTTGTAAGTTCCGCACTTGCTGCCTTCTAAGGAACCCACTTAATGCAGACATCCTCCCAAGGTCCTCTGTAAGAGGAAATATGTAGAGGGTTCAGACATCACCCACTTGCCCTCTCAGACCTGTGGCTTCTTCCATCGAAGGGCCATTCCCTCATGGCTTGCCCAGACCGCTTCTCAGGCACGGTCCCTAAGAGGCACGGACCAACTCTCCTCAACACACCCTGCGAGACTCTGGGGAAGATATGAACGGATGACGGCCGCATCCTAACAAGAGCCAGCGTTTCTGACAAGGTTGCTGTGTTCCAGGTATTGTGTCCAGGTATTTGGCCTTCGTATTCTCAGCCAATTCTCCCAACAGGCCCTCGGAGATGCTATCCGATCTGAAAGGAAGGTGCAGGTCTTAGGAGTGATCACTTGGCCACGTTCACACAGTAAGTGAGTGGGAGGGCTAGTCCTTGAACTCAGAGCACTGCCCAGGTGCTCTTATTGTTATTATTACTATTGCTAAGCCTCACCTGAGGATATGCTTAGAGAGAGGGAGAAAAAATGGATCGGTTGCCTTCCATACAGGCCCTGACCTGAGATCGAACCTGCCACCCAGGAATGTGCTCAACCAACCGAGCCACTCTGGCCGGGCTAGGTGCTCTTAATAATACCACAGCCTGGCTGGTGTGGCTCAGTAGGTTGAGCATCGTCCTGTGCACTGAAAGGTTGCCGGCTGATTCCTAGTCAGAGCACATACCTGGGTGGCGGGTTTGATCTTGTCAGGGCACATACAGAAGGCAACCAATGATGTTTCCCTTTCTCCTTAAAAAAAAAAAAAAAAAAAAAAAAAATCAATGAAAAGATCTTAAAAAAAAATTACACCAGGTTCTTAAATAACATTGTTTCATTCAACATTGTTACCAATTAGCCTATGGTAAGGTTAGTTTCCTTATGCATCGTTTTTGCATAGTCATAGAACCTACAGACCATGTTAAATTAGGATTTAACTGTATTTCCATTTTTAAAAATATATTTTTTTATTTATTTCAGAGAGGAAGGGAAAGGGAGAGACAGAAGCATCAATGATGAGAGAGAATCATTGATACCAGGCATGTGCCCTGACCAGAAATCGAACTGCGACCTCCTGGTTCATAGGTCGATGCACAACTACCCAGCCCAGCCGGCCGGGCTGTATTTCCATTTTCTCACAAAGAGGGAAGCAGACTCAGGGTGGAGTGGCTTGGTCAATATCACACAGCTGAGAACGGGCAGAAGCAGGTTTTATTCCTCCACCTGTGGCTCCTCAACCACGGTGGGGAAGGGTAAACAGAGTCACGGAGAACGCAGGGCACACCCATCCACTGCTGGGGGCAGGACCTCCCCAGACACCACGATGCTCCGAGAGGCCCAGCCGTTTGCCCAGGATGGCCGTTTAGCACTAGCAAGTGCCTGGCTCCCAGCCGCAGGGACACCCTGGTGCCACTCTCCAGGCCAGAAAACCGAAGCAACAAACAAACCTCCCCGCAGTGCCAAGCACATCGGAAATCCTAGAAGCACCCGGGCCAAGCAAATAAATGAGCTCCTGTGAGGTGGTAGTGAAGAGAGCGTCTCCATCCTCCCTCCTGGACCTCAATTTCTCCTTCTGTAAAATGGGGCTGCAGTGTAGCTCATCCTAGTATTGTGCTAGTTTAGTCCGGAAGACTCCGAGAAAAGGCAAAACCCGAGCCTGGAATCTAATGGGTGCTTTATACGATATCCATTATCGATGGCGGTGGTGATGGTGGGGGTAGGGGGTAGGAGCCTAGGGGAGGCGAATTGTCAGAGGAGGCCCAGCCTCAGTCCCAGCCTCCCTGCAAAGGGGGTCCCTGCGAAGCAAACTTCTGAGACCTCAGACCGCTCGGCAGGGCACAGCCCGGTCCGCGCTGGATGTGGGAGCTGTGGCCGGGGTGCTCCCTTCTCCCCAGAGCTCTGGCCGCCGCCGCCGCCGCCGCGTCCCCGGGAGCCGGCCAAGGCCCGGAAGCAACGGCGCCCCCTTCCAAACTGGGGTGCAGGTGGGGGAGGCGGGGGGACGAGGCCAGCCCCAGACGCCCCGTTCCCCGCGCCGGGGGACGGGAGCGGGGACGCATCCCACCTTAGAAGGGGCCGCCCGCCGGCCGGCCGGCCCGGGGACCGGAGCCTCCGGGGGGAGGAGGAGGGGTCGGGCCGCCGCGGCGGAGATTTGCCCGGACTTGACGACTCCCACGGCCGGAGCCCAAACCCCAGGCAGCTGGAGAAGGCTCTCTCCCCGCTCATTGGCCGGGATCCGCGGGGGCCAGGGCTCCGCACGCCCGGGGGAAGGGGAGGGGCGGAGAGGGTCGAGGCTGCCAGTTGATGCAACCCCGCTGCGGGTTTACGCGCTGCACTCCCCCTTCCCGAGCCGGGGGCGGAGGAAACGGGGGGGGGGGCGGAGGGGGGTGGGGGCTGCGCACCGGCTCAGCCCAGGCGAGCCCGGAGCTCGGACGAGGCTCGGGGTTCGAGGGAAAAGTGGCGCGGCCGCTGCTTACCTCCCCGGCCCCCGGGCTGCCGCCGCTGCCGCCGCCGCCGCCGCCGCCGCCGCCCCGGGAGAACGGCAGGTAGCCCTGCAGCTCCGGGCGGCACTCCGAGTCCGCGACGATCATGGTGTGCGCCAGGACCCGGCCGCGGCGGGCCGCCGACCCGGGCACCGACCCGGGCGCCGAAGGGGGTGGCGGCCGGACGCCCTCAGGAAGCCGGGACCGGGGGCCGCAGGGGAGGTTCTAGAAGCCGGGGTGCCTCTCCCTCAGAGTCCAGGAACGGCCGCTGCCTCGCTGCACTCGCCTCGCGTCCGGCTCCCGGAGGGCGGGCGGGCGGGCGGCCTCGGAAGCCCGGGACTGGCCGCGGCGCGCGGTGTCTCACGGCCCGGGGCGCCCCTCAGGTCCGCAGTGGCGAGCGCTGCCGGCGGACGCGGCGCTGCTCGGCATCCCCGCCGCGGAACTGCCAGCCTGCGCCGCTCTGACACCGGCGGCGCCGCTGCGGTCCCCGGCGGAGGGCGGGGACACAGGAGCCCCGCGCCGCAGCCAATCAGGGGCCTGTTTCCTAGGGGGGCGGGGCGACACCCTCCTCAGGAGCCGGAGGCCCAACCAATCCGCGCCGGGCAGCGCCCAGGAACTCTGGGAGCTGTAGTCAGCCCGGCACCACGAATGCTGCAAACTTTTGCCAAAGGATTTTTTAGTCAGATTGTTGACTCAATGCCGGACGAGAGTGACAGCCTGGAGAGTCATTACGAGCTGCATGATGAAACGGGACTTCACCGGGCTGGGCCGTGGAGCCAGGTGTGAAATCCCTCCCAAGTACGTTCTGTAGCTTTTCAGTTCCTGGAGGGACTGGTTTAGGGTTCAGGAGAGGTGGTGCTAATTGTAGAGCCCGATATGGGCACACCCCTGTGCCCCTGGTCTCCGGGGAGGGCTCCGCCCTTAAAATGTATCAGACACAGAGAATCCACCTTATTTGAAGGGTCTCTGGGAAAGCCTTTCTTCTTTGAAATGTCCTTGGCAACAACCGCCCAGTCCAACTTAGTCCCTATTGCTGCAGGTGTCTCCCCCTATTGCTCCTTTGAGTCTCGGGTCCTTTTTTCATCCCTGCCACCCCGTTTCTAGAAACGTTGTGATAAAGCGGTCCACTGGATCTTTTCTCACCTCTCTGGCCCCCTTTATCCTCCCACCCCTGGAACATGGATGCTTCCCTAGTTTATTTGTATCCCTCATCTATCCGTCCTTGATCTCATTCCTTTCCCGGCCTTCAACTCTCCCTTTGTCTCTTCCACCAGCCCCTCAGCACCTGTAAGCTGATTGAATCTTCCGTGCCCTTCCCACAGATTCTCTTCCTTCACAGTGTTTCTTCAGAGATCCACTTTTTTTGTTTCAATTTTAAAGCTATTGTTCACTCTGAATAGAGAATCATGGCTGGGGCAAGTGGACTAACTGACCTACAAGGTCCCTTCTGGGACTTTGGAGTCTAGGTTTCTGATTCCAAAGTTGACCCCTCCTGCCTCCAACTTCTTGGGAGAAGGACATTAATCTCACCCAGGGCACTTGATTTGGATCTCCTTTATAAGACCCGTCACTGTCTACCTTGCATTATAATTTTCTGTGGGCAGGTCTTATCTGACCCTTTGGATTCTGAGTTATTTGAAGATAGGGTCCCACATCTTTGTCTTCTGCCACATGCCACCTAGCCCGATGTTCTGGCCTTCAAGCCTTTCTTCCAGAAGTTCCCTCTGCTAATCTCTGCCTACTGAAATCCTACCCAGCATTCAGTGTCTTCATTCATGTTTGTGGCCTGAGTGAAGGCTTTGAAACGCCACTTCCTCCCGAAAACATTGCTTCTTCAGCTCAGCTCAGAGTCCTCTCTCCCACTCCTCAACACATTGTTTCTACCTCTTTATACCACTGGTCTTCAACATGATGCAGCTTCTCTCTGACAATGGAATATGTTACTGACCACTTTTCAAAGGGAAAAAACTTCTGCTTACTTAGAAAGGTAAAACTTAGCATCAGGGTACTATAATGTCTTCTTCTGACTTTACCAGGCTGTGCCAGAACTTATTTATTTAGTTATTTAGAATATGTCCTATTAAAAGGCTAATATGCAAATTGACCGAGTGGCTGAAGGACTGGTTGCTATGATGCACAATGATCACCAGGGGGCAGAACCTCAGCACAGGAGCTGCCCCCTGGTGGTCAGTGTGCTCTCACAGGGGGAGCCCTGCTCAGCCAGAAGCCAGGCTCACAGCTGGAATGCCAGCAGCAGTAGCAAGAGCCTCTCCCATCTCTGTGGCAGTGCTAAGGATGTCTGACTGCTGGCTTAGGCCGGCTCCCCATGGCTGAGTTTATTCCTCCCTCCCCTATGACTAGTATTTTTTCCCCTAAATATATTTTATTGATTTTTTTTACAGAGAGGAAAGGAGATAGTTAGAAACATCGATGAGAGAGAAACATCGATCAGCTGCCTCCTGCACACCCCTACTCGGATGTGCCCACAATCAAGGTACATGCCCTTGACCGGAATCAAACCTGGGACCTTTCAGTCTGCAGGCTGATGCTCTATCCACTGAGCCAAACCGGTTAGGGCATGACTAATATTTTTGGTTCAGTAAGGACCTCTACTTTCTGTTGCCATACTTTCGGTCCTCTTGCATCAGCCATGCTGAGGCCACTCATTGACCAAAGCTTTTATAATTATTCCTCAATCACATTCCAGTCCTGAAGCTGCGTCTACATTGCATTTGAAACGGTTTTTGTTTCCTCTGATTCAGACCCTCTCTCGGATTTTTTTTTTTTTTAACTCTAACGGAAGTCTCTTCTGTTTTGTGTTCATTCTTTCTGAATTAATTTTATAATCCCAAATTATGGGGTCGCTTTGCCATAATGACTTTGTCTCTGACCATACCTGGGGCTCTGATTTATCACCGTATGTAATTTTCTAAGCTCTTCTCGTTCTCAACACCCTTCCCCCTACCTGCTCAGAATACAATTCCTGCCGTGGGGGAGCTTTCAGGGGAAAAAAAAAAAAAAAAAAAAAGCCCAACTCCTACAGGTTTAATAAAGCCAGAGCGGACTAACCCTCTGTGGCTCATTCACACATTCAGCCATTCAGTCACTCATGAAGCAGGCTTTGTGGTAGATGCTGAGGGAGGTCCTCCTGCGCTGACAGGTGCAGAGCTGAGGAGCCACACAATTAAAATTGAAATCGTCCCCTGGAGTTGTGCTCCAGGAGGCAGAACAAACAGACTCTTTGAACCAGAGCCAACTATCTCTTAAGAGCACTGCCCCAGGAATCCTGGTTTTTAGCTGTATGATTGAAAGAGAATTCTTTTTTCCAGCTCTTAGAACCTGTTTTCTCATCTGTAAAACAAAGGAATTGGAAATGAGCTCTAACCCTCTAGAGCCACTGTGGAGAGGACTGGGCAATGCATAGAATTTGGTTTAATTGATTATATACTAGGGACAGAAACCGGGTTTCAAAAAAACAAACAAAAACTCACGCCTCTTAATAAAAACAAAACTAAACAGCTGGGTGCTTTGGATAATTCACTATGAATTTAGGTTGGCTTTGTCGGCTGAATGAGTCCTTAGCGCCCCCTGCAGGCAGGACCGTGCTAAGCTCTGAACGGACTGGGAAGAAGGGCGGCTTGAGGTGCCCCAAACCGCTTTGAGTTTATAGGATTGTCAGGTCTCATATCACAGCCTGCAGGTCCTGAAAAGTGGCCAGGCCACAGCTAAGTGAAGATGGTGTGGATGCTGAAGGTTCCCTGCTTCCAGGAGGGACCAGATCAGACTCCTCAGGGACCTTCCAGCCTGAATGCACTTCCCATTGTTTTGGCTTACTGCTGCATTTCATGAGGTCCAGAGAGAATAACTCGTATGTCCAAGGTCCTCAGAAAGCTGGTCACAGAATGGAGACTAGAACCTTAGGCTCCAGACCCCCAAGTCTAGGGCCACGGATAAAGGCTGCCCCAGGAGTGACACTTTTCCAGGAAGAACAATTCTCTTTGTTCCCTCATCTTCCTCTAGTTCCCCCTCTCCACTTCTGGAGGACCCACATCCCCTTCTCACACACCCCGAGGCTGTCCCTGGAGCAATGCCCCTGGCTCCCACCACCCTTCCCAGCCCACCTCTTCCTACCTTTAAGATTCCCCCCTCTCCAGCCCCCCCAAAAAAGTTGCTCTTGGATTAGGATATCGGAGCTGAAGGTTTTTGGCTGTGTGAACCTACGGAAGTCACATCACCTCTGGTACATGTTTCCTGTGTAAGATGGGGCAATCCACTGGGGCTGCTGTGAGGATGAGCGCTAATGCACACAAATCCCTTAACAAGGCTTGATGCAGATCGAGTGCTCAATAAACTAATTATTATTATGATTATTTATATTGTTGCTGTTATTTGAAAGGAGCTAACTTAGTGCGGGACGACAGTGGGTTGTTCAAGAAAGGTGATTATAACCATTAATATGGAAGAGTTTGAGGCACGGAGCCTGGCAAGGAGCAGGAAGTGAATACATAAACTTACTTTTTTTCACCCAAAGGCTCCCAGTACGTTGGCAGTCTCTCTCTCTCTCTCTCTCTCTCTCTCTCTCTCTCTCATTGTTGACACTATTACAGATGTCCCTAATTCTCACCCCCGAACCCCTGCCCCCCTCTTGGTGATGTCTCTCCGGAGGAAAGGCTGCACCACTTGTTTTTGCTCAGCAACAGGCTCCTCTTACGTAAGCCGCCCGGGCCAGTGAGCAGGAGGAGGGGCGGGGCTGCCCGACAGCCAATAGCGGCCCGAAGCGGCGCAGGCCGGACCCTCGCTGGTTTCCAGGCGCTGGAAAAGCTAACCCCGGAGGAGGCTTTGGGGGCGGGGCTTGTCTCCACAGGCTCCTGGGTCTGCCTACCAACCCGGCTCTGATTGGTGCGGACCCTGGAAGCCCGCCCCTTCGTCCTCCCGGCCCCGCCTTCGTGGGAGGGGGCCGGGACTACCCCGTCTGTTTTTTTTTTTGTTTCTCCCCCCCCCCTTTCTATTTTTTAAAAAAATTTTTAATGAAATTTTGATTATAATTTAGTTTTTCCCTTCCAAGTTATGTTTACCTTTTGTGTTTTTTAGTGTGTTCCAGGCTTTCG